TTGTTTTTCTGGAATGATCTGTAACTATAAACATATATAAGATATCTAAAAATACATTTGTTCTAATGTATATATAAATCATATGCACGTGTTTCTGCACTTGATATCAATTTACATAAACATGGGGAGGAAATATTTCATTATAAAAATTTTGAAAATAGATTATGAAACATTAAATGCACTTGTTGTGCTTCCATGAATCTATGAAAGAATTATATTTTGTATATTATAGTCTCTTTAAATGAAGTCTCAATTAGGAATAAAAAACTTTCTATAAATATTCATAAATATCAATGAGTTATTGTATCATGTTTCTGTAGATAAACCAAAATTGCCAGAAAATTATCAAGAACAAACATGGGAAAAGCTGCAAGAAGCTGTAATTGCCATACAAACAAGCAAAAGCATCCGTTATTCTTTAGAAGAACTTTACCAAGCTGTTGAGAACATGTGTAATCACAAAATGGCATCAACTCTTTATGCGAATTTAACAATACTAACAGAATCGCATGTTAAAGCTAATATTGAACAGTTTTTGGCAGAATCCATGGATAGACATATATTTTTGAAAAAAATGAATGAATGTTGGCAATCACACTGCAGGCAAATGATTATGATAAGAAGTATCTTTTTGTACCTGGATAGAACATATGTGTTACAAAATCCAAGTATATCTTCAATTTGGTAGGCATTTCTTAAAATAGTACAATAAAAGTTATTTGATATTTATACTAATATGCTTAGTATACTACTAATGTAATTGTTTTTTTTTTGCATATGTTTCTAGGGATATGGGGTTACATTTGTTTAGATTACACATAGTACTAAATAATTTGGTGCAAACTCGTACTGTTGAAGGGTTACTTATGCTTATTGAAAAAGAACGACAAGGGGATACAGTGGATAGAACTCTTTTAAAATCGTTATTAAGAATGTTGTCTGATTTACAAATTTACCAAGAGGCCTTTGAATCTAAGTATGATAATTTACCATATGTGTTAATATATCTATATACTATATAATAATATGCAATTCTCTTTTTGTAATCTATTATTAATAACTATATTTTATAGGTTCCTGGTAGCAACAGAAAGATTGTATGCAGCAGAGGGCCAAAGATTAATGAATGAACATGACGTTCCTGAATATTTAGCACATGTAGACAAACGCCTGCAAGAAGAAAATGAACGTTTATTGCATTATCTTGATACATCAACAAAGTATGTGTTCTTGCAATTATTGTTATTGTTATAATAAGTGTACTTAATACTTTTTAACTAAATAATATTATATATATATATATATAAGATTACTTAATAACTAAGAGTATAATATTTTGTTTTTAGATGGTCTCTTATACATACGGTTGAGAAACAATTATTGTCTGAACATATTTCAAGCATTCTACAAAAGGGTTTAAGTGGTTTATTAGATGAAAATAGAATTAGTGATTTATCATTACTTTATAATTTATATAGTCGAGTAAAAAATGGTCTCGTCGAACTTTGTCTCAATTTTAATTGTTACATAAAGGTATGTATATTGTTAAGCATTTAATTTATATTTATATTATATTAATTTATATTATGTATAGAAATAAGTTATTAAAAAATAATGCAATGATTTTCTAGAAAAAAGGTAAAACAATAGTTATAGATCCAGAAAAGGATAAGACTATGGTACAGGAACTCTTAGATTTTAAGGATAAAATGGACAATATTGTTAATACATGTTTTCATAAAAACGAAAAATTTGCTAATAGTTTAAAAGAAGCTTTCGAAGCTTTCATAAATCAAAGAGCAAATAAACCAGCAGAATTAATAGGTATTATATTTAATGAATAATATATTTTAATGATCTTGAGTGATTAAATATTTATCAAAATAATTAAAAAATTAATATATATTTTTCCTTCCATTGCAGCAAAATTTGTCGATTGTAAGCTACGCGCAGGTAATAAAGAAGCCACGGAAGAAGAATTAGAACGATTATTAGATAAAATTATGGTATTATTTCGTTTTATACATGGAAAGGACGTATTCGAAGCTTTTTACAAAAAAGATTTGGCAAAGCGTTTGCTAGTAGGCAAATCTGCATCTGTTGATGCTGAAAAGTCCATGTTATCTAAATTAAAACAAGAATGTGGTGGAGGATTTACAAGTAAACTAGAAGGAATGTTCAAAGATATGGAACTAAGTAAAGATATTAATATTGCTTTTAAACAGGTAATTCATTATTCGATAGCACATTTGTAAAAAAAAAATATTCAATTATAACTCGTACTTTTACTTTTATGATTTTGTAGTATGCGGGGAATCTGCAACATGAATTGTCTGCAAGTAATTTAGACTTAACAGTTTCAATACTTACAATGGGATATTGGCCAACATATCCCGTAATGGAAGTTACATTACCAACAGAAATGGTGCAGTATCAAGATGTATTTAATAAATTTTACTTAGGAAAGCATAGTGGAAGAAAGTTACAATGGCAACCTACTCTAGGCCACTGCGTTTTAAAAGCTTGGTTTAATCAGGTATATTATTGCATAAGTATTATAAAACGTATAATTATGCAAATTTTAATGGCATAATTTTTCTTAAAGGGCAATAAAGAACTACAGGTATCATTGTTCCAAGCATTAGTTTTAATATTATTTAATGATGCTGATAATCTTTCGTTGGAAGATATTAAAGCTGCAACTAACATTGAAGATGGCGAACTTAGAAGAACTTTACAATCTTTGGCTTGCGGGAAAGCTAGAGTTTTACAGAAACATCCACGAGGAAGAGATGTAGCTGATAATGATAGATTTGTTTTTAATGCGGAATTTACGAATAAATTATTCAGAATTAAAATAAATCAAATACAAATGAAAGAGACGGTAAAATCTATAATATATATTTCTATAAATAATCCTGTAATTTTTAATTGAAATTACTTAATTAAATAAATTTTTTCACAGAACGAAGAACAAAAAGCAACGGAGGAAAGAGTGTATCAAGATAGACAATATCAAATAGATGCCGCGATTGTCAGGATTATGAAAATGAGAAAAACACTCACGCACAATCTCCTCATTAGTGAATTATACAATCAATTAAAGTTTCCTGTTAAGGTATGCACATTAATATCGTTATAAAAGAATAATAATAAATAACTAATTTTAAATATTTTTCTTCGTATAATTAGCCTGCTGACTTAAAGAAGCGGATTGAGTCACTTATAGACAGGGATTACATGGAACGGGATAAAGATAATGCAAATCAGTACAATTATGTCGCGTAACCTGAATCAAATGCCAAAATTACGTCAGATTGGTTCAATTTTACATTTTCTAGTAAAACGAATCAATTAATTTTGGCGCTTGCCTATTGTGAATGTGTAAAGTTGAAGAAAGAAACAAAAAACTTTAACTGGTTAACTGTCAACGTGACGTTGCAGTACACAATCAGTTCATAAAAAAATACCTAGAATGGACCTCATTGTTTTGTTTTTTGTAGTAGTGCATACGGACACTGGACAGTTACAGTAATTTTTCAACAGTGCTTTACTGTTATCCTTGTGTTATTTCTAGATTTTGCTAAAAAGGACCATGTGCAAAATATCATCGATAATGCAGCAGTTTAAGATGTACCAACAATTTTTTATGCTAAGCAGTTTTTCACAGCATATTAAAAGATAAGCAGATGTAGTGCAAAACAACAAACATAATGTAACACTGTAATAGCTACAATGAAAATAACTTAAGAAATGAGAAACATAATGTACTAATTCCTTAAAAAATCGGCGACAGTGCGTTAATTGTAATAGATTTAAACTTTGCACCATATAAAACTTTGAAGAAGTTTGGCTTAAATATTCAAAATTATCCTGACACATAAAACTATTATTGAAAGTTAAGATTCTGGAGACCATATTACACTTACGAATCTCAGTTAAACCAAGGATAATAACTGTTTACAATAATTACAACAGGAACTTTAATTTTACAGTTAAATTTAATAGGCATTGTTGCAGCTGATTTTAGGTATAAAATAAAATAAAGATTTGTACAGTGGAAAAAGTATAGAGGTATGCAAGAAGTATTTTTAATTTACTTTTACTAACACATCGTGTAAAAAGTTTAAGGAAATGTAGAAAAAAAAATCCTTTTATTGAAACGAAATAAATTTCATTTGAACAGATTATATTAAAGGAGATCACTATGCCACACTACTTTGTAAGCATCTCGACATAGTACCTTACAATACAGTTCAGTAGTTATGAACGAAGTTTTAACAGAAAATATTATAACAGTTGTGATACAAAAAAAAAACATGTTCATCTTTCTTGGGAAAAAAGTAATAGGATAACACAAATTTATTAGTAAATAATAATGAGAAACACTGTGGAAAAAAATATTAACTTTAAATATTAATGTAGGAAAATTAAAAAGAAAATTCTCATTTTTTTCAATTGAAACTCTAATATCTCCTCACTGCTTACATTATATGCTTTTTGCATATGTAAGCAATAAAGAAATTTATATACTATATTAATACATGCAATTGCAAAATATGTCTTATTAATATTTATTCTTTACATTCGAAATTGTACCATAACTTCGTATGTATTAACTGTTCATTTATAAAAAGAAAGTGATGAAAAAGATTAATTTGCTTTTGAAATAAATGTATTTATGTAAATCTTATGAGCTTAATTTTTATGTGAGCCAGTAAATTAGCCCGATTAAAAAAAGCTTAAAATCCTAGCCAATTCACTACATTAATAATATATAATAATTATAACACATTTACGAAAGAATAATAATATAGGATTGACAGAAGTCTCCTTTATTTTGTTATAAAAGCGACTTGTATATGTGTGTGTGTGCGTGCAAGTGTGCGTGAAGCGTATGTATATATTACTTTAAATTGAGAAGTGCATTTTCAAGATATTATACTCTTAATGTCTTCAATATCTACAGTGTTTCATGTTATTATATACTTGTTTTTTCTTTTTTCATTTTATAGATTCAATTTCTGGTGCCTTCCATCATTATATGTATATTATCATCTAGATCTGCTTATTTTTTATTATATTTAGTAAATGAATTGAGATATCTATCATATTTTAAGAGAACATTGTAGTCGGTGTTTGTTTTATTATTCTAGAATTAACACAATTATAAATAAATGATTTCTTTGTGTTACACAGGAAAAGGTAATAAAAAAAATACGAATATTAATATATAATAAATTATGTATCTGTGTCCTAGGGATGTAACTTTTTCACTCTGCTACATCAATTAGAAAATTAATGTTTCGAAGAAAATTTCATTTTTCCCCTGAATCTAATTTTAGAACATTTGACTTTGATTTATGCAAATATTATACATATCTATAATACAAAAGAAAAATTCATGTAAATTATATCTGAGGGAAATGTATTGATTTCTTTTTTTTTGCGATTTGATAAATATACAAAAAATTGCTACTTATTTGTGGGAATATACAATAGATAATATTGGCTATTATCGACAGGTACAAAATTATTATGCAAACGTATTAATAACAGATAATTGCTAAAAAGTAATGTAAAAATTTTTAATATGTACGAAGAGTGTACGCTAACATGATGAAACGAATAATTTATTATTTAGTAAGTTTGTTTATTGTATTTACGTTACACACCTATAAATACAAAAGTACCGTTTTATAATAAAATTCAAAATTTTAATTCATGTAACCTTTCTAAAATTTAGTTAGAATAAATTGGACATTTGTACTGAAGTGATAAGTGAAAATTTCTTAATAACGTATCGTTGTTCGTATTTTATTATACAATCAATTATAAATTTACTTAAAAAATAATTTTTGTAAGTTACAAGTATACTATTGTTAATACTTTATCGCGTCTAAATTGAAGAATTTACTTGATAAATACAATTTCTTCTAAAATTGCATATCAACGCGAGAATTATTATTTTAATGCTTTTATTGTTTTCATATATTCATTTCTTATATCAATTTCATTTAATAATGAGTTTGCAAAATTACTAGGATTAGCATTTTTGTGTAGAAAATCAGAAACTAATAATGATGGAGGTTTACCACCACCGTGTGCTAAACATTCCCAACGATATTTCTCACCAGCAACTCTACTCAGAGGATCGTGTTGAAAGTATGTTTGCCAAATCCAAGAGGCTATTGCACGTGATATTAAATAAGAATAATATTTGGCACCGTATCCGACTAGATGAGAAAATCGCAACTGCCATGCCTACAGACAAAAATAATGAATAATTATCATAAGCAATATATCCCATATTCATAATAATTTTCTTCATTTTTAAGAAAAGAATACATACTGTATTTTCAATGTATGGTAAACCATAATATTTTTCTTGAATATCTTTTAAAATTTCTGTAGTAGATCTTTCTATTTTATTACTATGATAAACATGATCTAACATACTATAAAATACTTGATTTTGCAGTTCTGATGCGCAAAAAATATATTTCGAAGCGCATAACTTTTTTAACAAATTATCTGGCATTTGCTCGTTCGTTTGATAATGTTTTGCAAACATAGATAGTACCTAATCAAAATATCAATTAAAATTTGCATAAGACTTTACTCTGATAAATTTTTTATTGTACATAAGCTTACTCGTGGATCGCCTGCAAAATATTCCATTAACACGCTCGGTACTTCTGCAAAATCTGTACTGCATCTGGTACCTGTCACATGTTGATATTTTGTTCTACCTAACATAGAATGTAATGCATGTCCCATTTCGTGAAATAAATTATCAACTGAGGATGGATTTAGTAAACATGGATTAGACCATTTAGGTGATGGTAAAGATAACATTAAAACAACTATAGGAGTCTGAAAATATACATTAATGTCAAATTATAAAAGTAAATAAAAAAAGTAACTTCATTTTTTTTTTTTTCTATGTCACCTGATAAGTTCCATTGGACAACTGTTTTCCACCTCTAATAGCAAAATGACAATCTTGATTAGGTTTTCCTTTTCTTTCAAAAAAATCACAATAAATGTAACCCAATGTTGTTTCATCTTTATCAATCACAGCTAATTTATGTATATTTTGTGCCCATACTTCACCACATAAAACTGGTGCAGATTCCAGTCGTATTCCATATAATGCTTGTACAAGATAATTTAAACCATCCATACAAGAGCCAAGAGAAAAATATGGAGCAAACTCATTGTTGGAAGTATTTAACCATGTCTTTTTAGCCATTGAGATAAAATAGGCTGTATCCCATGGCATCAAATCCTATACAATATAAATAAATTGTTAACTGTCTTCACTAATTATAAAATTAATTTATTTCTGAAAAAAAAACGAACTTGTTTTATAGACGATTGAATATCTTTCATTTTTTGCATCTCTTGAAAATCTTGCATCGCTTTAATTTGTAAATTATCATTCAAAATATTAAGAAAATCATTTACTGCTTCAGGTGTTTGTACTGTACTACCTTTTACAGCTCTGTGGAAAGAAATAATGTCTGAATAACAAAATAATATTGCATTAAATATAATATTCATTAGTAGAGAATGTTTCATTAAAATTTAAATAGAATTACCTGTGGACATATGTAGGAAATCCACATATTTGTGCCAATTGATGTCTACAATTTAAAAGCTTAACCAACAAATACTCCTGTTGTTTATCAGGATATAAGAATAGTTTGTAAGCTGCTTCACGAACAATAGTATTAGATGAATCTGTATAAAGTCCACTTACTAATATCTGACCATTGTGTATCTCAAAACTGAGAAAATTAGCTAATGTAAAATAATGGTGGCAACATATAGTAAAAATATTTTCATATATCTTTTAATATAAATATTAATAAATTGGATATCATTATACTCACTTTTGCCTGATACTTTCTGGCAAAATATCAGCCCTTATAGAGCGTGTAGTAACAGCACCAGCCATAAATTTCTGACCTGTCTTAATAATAAATAATTTATTGAAAAAATAAATATAATTACTAATAAATTAATAATACAATATGTATATACTGAGCTTACTTGTAGGATATTGTCATTTAACATAACAACTTGTTTTCTTTGTTCTTCTGGCAAATGAATACCACTTTGTTCGAAATCAAACAAAAATAGCTTGGCAACATGATCATCAATGGGAGAAGTTTTTAAAATGTCTCCATTCTTTACAACATGCTGTAATGCATTATATAAGTCACTGTGAGTATTAAGTCTGTTAAAAAAATAATATAAATAATGTTAATAATCCAATTGCAATTATTAACAAATGAATAGATTTAAATTACATACTTTTCAACGACACTACTTAGTGATATAGAAGCATCCTCCGCAGCTTCAATAAACTCTATATTTGGATGTGCAATTCTAATGAATTCTGCTAAATCTGCAACTTTACACAAAGTGTCAGACAATTCATCAAATATCTCTACCATATTTCTCTTTCTGTTAACATCAGTTACTTCAGCTATAAGTAAATCAGTTTGAGTAAATGCACGATCCTTCAACGTTTTAAATCCGCTTGCATCTTTAAGTTCAGGTATACCAAATAAACCCTATAATATAAAGAATATTTAGTGATGTACTTAAACTATGTATTTATAAATTTTATTAGATAAAATTGAACTCACAGTCTCCTTTTTGGACAAACTGAATCCATGTTCTATTTTTGTAATAGAATTGAATGCTGTTGCTAAAGGTGACCATGTATTTACATGCCTATACATTTTGAGAGAGTTCAAAGAATACTTGTTGAATGGCATCATTTTGTTTTATTATTTATTTAATTAAAATATTAAACAAATGTAGATATATCTGCCAGTCTACAAAATACGAAATACGTAAGAGATTAGAATAAATTAATTCAGACACTTTTATTGAGGTTATAATCTATGATTCGCGTATAAAATATTATATATACATATATATATATATATTCTCTATATATTATATTTTATTATATATATATATATATATATATATATATATATGTATTATATATAAAAGTATAAAACATTTCATAAAGAATATAATTAGTATACAATTTTTTCAAATTTATCTTCGAATACAATTATTTTTTTTTTTATGATTAGAAACAATAGATGGGTACTTCATCTTATTTGTACATTTTATACAGTCTTACGCATAATGCACTGCTTTTCTTAACAAAGATTACTTTCACACATATATTAGGTTTGTTCTTTTATTTTAATTATATATTTATTCTTTCTTTTGTTTTTTGGTGAACGATGGCGGCGTCATAGTCTGACGACGCTGCGCAATGTAGACATGTAACTCTTTTTAAATTAAAAAATAAATTGAATATGTAATGAAGTTAAAAAAATGAGAAAATCGAGAATTTCGTAACTGATAAAGATAAAGAGTTAATTATTAACAGATCCTTTGAATGATCATTGGTGGAATTTTTATAAATATGCAGTTAAATGTATAAGAAAAATTTTTTGAATTTAACAATTTTCAAGGTTAACCAAAGATAACAAATGGTAAGAAATAATTCCTATGCTTTATCTATCCGTGAATAAACGTTTAGTTTAGTACAATATTATATAATTACATACATATATATGTATATGTATATATATATATATATATATATATATATATTTTTAGTCATTATGGATGACAATACATTCCAGTGGAAGGGATGTGCTTATGTATATAAGGACATACTCGACGTTTATACTCCTACGTATATTTACTGACAGATTAAATATATACAAAAATTTCTGAATTTTTTTGTATTTAATACTTAATATTTTTTGTTTGTTTTTTTTTTAATATTTATGTTTTTGTCACGTTAATTTTTTTGACTCAATATTTTCATCATTTATTTACAAATTATTAAGTATATATATATATATGTGTTTTTTCACGTATGCATAATATATGTATAATATGTGAAATATATGTGTGTATGTAGTATATTGGAATTTTGTTCTTGTTTTCATTTTCTCATTTATTATAATTTATATGCATATTATGATTTTGTTAGTTAATAAAGTTTATATCACATAAAAGATTGTTAAAATAAAATATTATTAATAGTCGAAAACTGGACTAGAGGGAAATTTGTTTGATGCTGTGAGGCAACTAGCAGAGAGTGAAATTCAACTTATTAAAGCTATTGAGGAATCTACCATGGATTGTCAAAGAAATACTACGGATATGAAATCTACAACAAAAAAAAAGAATACCAAAAAATCATCTAAACTTTCAAATGTAAGATTGATTGATCATATTAATTTTATAATGTATTCAATAAATATATAATAATAATATATTTCAATAATTTTTATTTTAATTTATTTGTTATTATGAATAGGTTCGACCGTCTGCCGCTTTATTGGCAGCAAAACAAGAGGCAGTACAGCGCAAAATATTACAAAATAAAAAGTCTAACACAAACTTTGTATACGACATTTATCAAAAGATAAGAGATGCATATAGTATTGTGCATAAGGAAACTGGTATTGTTTATGATCATTCTATGGAGGAACATAAATGTTTGTGGGATGAGAATTATCCTGAATGTCCAAATAGATTAATAAGGATCTTAGAAAGATGTAAAGAGTTAGAATTATTGAATAGATGTAAATTAATTTCAACCAGATATTGTACAGAAAATGACATACTTCAAATGCACAGCCAAAAACAAATAGATATATTAAAATCAACCAGTGGATGTATGGATTTGGACAAATTGGAAACATTGTCTTCTAAATATGATGCTATATATATACATCCAGTAGGTAGATTATAGATAATAATCTTAAGGAATTAAAATTAATTAATTTATTTTTCAGTCCACTTATAAATTATCTTTATTGGCTGTAAGTTCAACAATAAGTTTGGTAGAAAGTATTTGTAAAGGAGATATACAAAATGGCATGGCCATTATCAGGTAGAATGCAATTATTTTTCAAAATCTTTTAGATTATTTATTGTCTTTAATTCCATTATATTTCAGACCACCTGGACATCATGCAATGAAATCTGAATATTGTGGATATTGTTTTTATAATAACGTGGCTATTGCAGCAAAAAAAGCTTTAAATGATAATTTAGCAAATAAAATTCTTATTGTTGATTGGGATGTACATCATGGACAAGCTACTCAACAAATGTTTTATGATGATTCACGGTATTATTTTGATTAATAAATAATTATTTATTTTAATAAATAATTATCCATTTTAAGTTTATAATTAAGTCCAGTGAGAATTATATATTTATTAATATTACTTTATATTTTCTTTTTAGTGTAGTTTATTTTTCAATACATCGTTATGAAAATGGAACATTCTGGCCTAATTTAGAAGAATCTGATTTTCATTACATTGGTAAAGGTTTGGGAGAAGGTTATAATTTTAATATACCACTTAACAAAACTGGTATGACAAATGCTGATTATATTGCAATATTTCAACAAGTTTTATTACCAATGGCTTATGAGGTAAATAATATAAATCAATTTTCTTTTTAAATATTAATTTAGAGACTTTATATCAAAAAATGAAATGCTTCCAAATTATAAAAGAACATAATGTAGAATTAATACAATATTTATTATAGTTTCAACCTGATCTCATAATAGTCTCAGCTGGTTATGATGCAGCATTGGGATGCCCAGAGGTAAAATAATAGAATTTATTTAACTATTGTTTTATTTTTCCTATTCTAATTCCATCCAGATCTTATTATTATTTCTGTTGGATTTGATTCTACGCTTAGAGATGAAAGAGTTAAGAAAAATGATTTATGTATAATTTTCGACTACATTCTTATTATTTATTTTTACTCATGCATATTTTTTCTAAAAATTATCATCATGCATTACTAGAATAGAAACTTAAATATAATATATATGTATACGTGTATATATTTTTTATGATGTAAAGGGTGAAATGGAAATAACACCTGCATGTTATGCACATCTATTGTCATCTCTATTGAGTTTGGCAGCTGGAAAGGTAGCTGTAGTATTGGAGGTATATTTCATAAATTACCTATGTAATCTATTTATATAATTAATTTTAGAAACTGATAATCAATGTATTTATGTTGATAGGGTGGTTATTGTTTAAAGTCATTGGCTGAAAGTGCTGCACTAACTTTGCGAACATTATTAGGTGATCCATGTCCTATGTTGCAAACATTACAATTACCATCATTAAGGTAAAAAAAAACCATCATTATAGTGAAATAAAATATTTAACAAGAAAGTTAATTCATATTACATATTACATGTATTTTTAGTATACGAGACACGATTTTAAATACTATCTACATTCATAAACAGTTTTGGAAATGTTATCAATATCAAGAACAATATAGTATTAATAATAGAATTGACAGAAAAGAAGAAAATAATGATCAACATTTGCCTGTTGTTAATTACAAGTAAGTTATACTATAGTATATAAAGTATAAAAAAAATTTATTATCTCTTGTATACTTATATAGGGGAGAAGTATATAAGCCAGATATTTATGAAACAAGAAATTGTTATCCTGTACAAAGTAAAAATACTCTTGAAGCATTAGATAAAAAATTAGATTCATTGATAAAATGTAAGTCCTTCGTTATAATAACATTAATTTTATATTTTGAATAATAATATATTAAAAAAAAGTATTTTTATAGTTACAAATTTATCCAAAGCACCTAACAAAGTATGTATTGTATATGACAATAGGATGTTGAAACATTGCGATACTATTAATAACACACATCCAGAAAAGCCAAATCGAATTTTAAGCATTTATAAAAAACATGAAGAACATGGTTTATTAGAGCGGTGCTATTTACAACAAGTATGTAATTTTGATTTATTTAATTTATTAATATGTACATACTTAGAATAAGACATCTGAAATTAATAACTGAATTATACATTATATTTGATAAAGGGAAGAGTGGCAACAGAGGAAGAAATATTATTAGCTCATTCACAAGATTACATTCATGCAATAAAAAAGACAGAATCATTTAAAACCAAAGATTTGGAAAGGCAAGCATTAAAATATAATTCTGTTTATTTGCATAATGAAACATGGTTTTCTGCTTGTGTATCTGTTGGCTCATTACTTCAAATTGTGGACAATGTATTAAATGGACAAGCACAATCTGGAGTTGCAGTAATAAGACCTCCAGGACATCATGCAGAACCAAATCTAGCATGTGGTTTTTGTATTTTTAATAATGTTGCAGTAGCAGCAAAATATGCTCTAAATATTCATAATGTAAAGAGGTAAAAAGAATTATTTATTATTTAATTTAATTGAAAATTGTAATATAGAAATTGTAATATTAAAATATAGAAGTGAAAGAGATTAAAATTATTTTCATAATTTTCAGGATATTAATAGTAGATTGGGATGTACATCATGGAAATGGAACTCAATCTATTTTTGAAAATGATCCAAATGTACTTTATATATCCATTCATCGTTATGACAATGGAAGTTTTTTCCCACATTCTAAATACGGCAATTATACTTCTGTTGGGTCAGGGTTAGGAGAAGGTTATTGTATAAATATACCATGGAACAAAGTGAGTATTGTACTATATAATTTTAATTTTTACCTTTCTAACAAAGATTTGTTATTGTTATTGTTTTTTTCTCCTAGAAAGGAATGGGAAATGCAGAATATATAGCTGCATTTCAACAAGTTGTTATGCCAATTGCTTATCAATTCAATCCAGATTTAGTTCTAGTCTCTGCAGGCTTTGATGCTTGTATTGGAGATCCACTAGGGGGTACGTGATAATATATATATAAAATATTATTAACACAATCATTGAATGATATAAAAAAAAATATTTATTTTAAGGATGTACAGTAACTCCAGAAATGTATGGACATTTAACACATTGGTTATCTTCTTTGGCAAATGGACGTATCATCCTTAGTCTGGAGGGAGGTTATAATATAAATTCAATTTCTCATTCAATGGCGATATGTACAAAAGCGTTACTTGGTGACCCATTACCCTTGCTAGATGCTTCGTTAATACCATGTTCAAGTGCAATACATTCTATAAATAATGTGTTAAAAACGCAAAAAAAATATTGGCCCAATTTAATGTTCAATTTATCATTGCCAAAAGAAAATCTCACGAAAATTGCTACTTATAAAAAGATGAATGAGCAAGTTAGAAATTCTAAATTTAATGAACATTCAGAATCCAAAATTGCTTTAGAGGGCATTGAAAATGAAAAATTGGATATTAAACTTTCTTTTAATAAAAATAGTATGAATTTAGTAACGGATGAAGAGATATTGAAACTTCAAAATGAGATAGAAAATATAAAAATTAAGAATTCAAAAACTATGAAGGAAATAACGACTACAGAAATAGCTAGAACATGTGTAAATAAGGATCAACAAAAAGAGAGACAGAGAAGAGAGACTGCAGGAAGTTCTAACAATGCAAGTAGTAGTAATGATTTTGGAGAGAATAGAGGAATTTATGATGGAGCTGCAGCAACAAGTTTAACCGATTATCTCTCTGATAATCTGCAGGTAATGATTTTTTATTACTGCAACTTTTTTTTTAGTTGTTTCTATGATCGCATTAAAATATAAAAATTTTATATATAGGCATTAATAGCTGGAGAAATGTTTGCTGTTATACCATTGCGCGATTGTCCACATCTAGATACTGTTAATGATGTACCATCTCGTGGTATTGATGTACATTTACCATGTTTGGAATGTGGTAGCAATGTAGAAAATTGGATTTGTCTACAATGTTACACCGTACATTGTGCAAGAAATATCAATCAACATGCATTATTACATGCTGATGAAACTCAACATCCTTTGACTCTAAGTTTTAGTGATTTATCAGTTTGGTGTTACGGATGTGAAGCTTATATTGACAATCCGGTAAGATATTTTAATATTATAAAAAATAAGAATTCTATGTAAATATTTATTACAATTTTAGAGATTATATGCGGCTCGGAATGCAGCACATCAAAGTAAATTTAATCAAGATTCACCATGGACTTATGAGGGACAATGAATTAGTGCCATATTTTGGTTATGATTACGTGTAGCTGATATTGATAAAATTAGAAATTTATTGGAATGTTATTATTTAGTATTTTTACATATTATTTTTACTAAATTCTAAATAATCTGTCTTTACTAAATTTTTAACAAAAATTGCTATTCTTTTACAAAATAATCTATATATAATTAGGAATAGAAAAACGAATATATATGAAATATGAAATATAATATGTTTGCAATATGATACTAATTTTATCACTATTATTAATAACTAGTACGCTCGAATTTAACATATATTAAAATATTCTTCTATTGTAATATTAGGAATCTGATTATGTTGATTTAATACATTACCAAAATATAATGAAATTTATTATGTATAAATAATGTAAAGTTTATTTTACTAAGGAAATAGTGGATAATTTTAGAAAGAAGATATTTTCTTAAACAGCAAATATTTTCATAGTCTCTATATATGTCAGGCGACTACAATAATTAATGAATACATATATATATATATATATATATATATATATATATATATATATATATATATATATACGTAAAAATACATTCGCTTATAAACATATAATTTTTTTTATGATAAATACTTATACTTACATTGCAATATTTACAAAAATCTAGTCGACATTCTTATGTAACCATACTTTATAAACATAAATAAAAAGCAAGTAAAATTAAATTAATTTTGTACTTTAAACTTACAGTTTGATAAAATATACAATGCATTTATAATACAAGAAAATAATTGTTTCAAGTAATTATTAAAAATTTTATATTTTTGTTTTTGAATAGATTTTCGTAATGATAAAATATAGAATAATTTATTTATTACTTTTTCTATGTAAACACTGAATTTTTAGTCTTTTTTACAAATTGTGTTGATTTTTCAATCTTGATTAATGCTAATCTAAACTGTCGAAAAAACATAAATATATCATATATAAGTTGCTTTATTGAACTCTGATTAAAAAGGCTATTATTCTGTATATTTATATGTCCAAGAATTGTTTTTAATGATGGCAATTTTTCAGTCGAAACGTGTGGATATGTCCATACAATATAATACTTAAATAATAGAGTATTATTTTGGAAATATTCAGCAAATTCTTCTACAGCACTATAAGGCAATGTATAATACAATCTATATGGTATTCTTTTATATTTGAATTTTTCTTCACATTCCTGAAGTTTTTGTGTAATACTATTATACACTTCTGTCATATTCTTCGAACCTTGTTCATAAAGATAAAAGTCTTTGGTCAAGCGGTACTTATGATTGTCACTACTAACATATGTTTTATGTGTATTTCTTAAATGTAAAAGTGCAGTTGGTATGGGATATATATACGATGTATATAAATGTATATGTGTGAGATGAGGTTTAGCTTTCAATTCAGCACTCATATGTGATGTTAGAGGGAAAACTCCAGCTTGATGCACAAAACCATAAAATAAACATAATATGATGTTAAAAAAATACCAAATAATTTGCAGCTTTGTAAGCTTAAATATTTTTTGTGGCATATAATTAGTTCGATTATTTTTTTTAATATGTGAGGTAATATCGACTCCAGGTACATGATATAACTTTGGAGCATATAAGAAAACCAATGGTAATATCACAGGTATTATAAAACGAGGTTCTTGATGGGGAAAAAAAGATAATAATGCTACAGGAACAATAAATGATGTTGTCATTAAACTAACTATACTTTGTATCCGTGGTAATTCCAGCCATTTTCCTTTTAAACCACTGCAAGCAATTAATACTCATTAACATGCATGCTACTTTTGAAAATATAAATATTATAAAATTTACAGTTTAGAAAACTAAAATTATGTATAATAATGCATTTTAATTATCCTAAATTTTTATATTATTATATTAAAATATTCACCTGAATGACATCCTTGCAAATGTAAGTAATCCAATAATTCCAAGTACATTGTATAATAGAGGTATGTTTAATAAAAAATGCAAAAAGCGTGGATGTAAACCATGACTTTCTAAATTTTTAGAATTGGCATTATATTTTAAAAAATTAAGTGGTGTCACTACAAAATTATTCAAACTAATATCCAAATTTCCTATCTCTCCCATTGTTAAGTAACCAAAGTAAAAACTATCAACTATGATAAAGAAAATAGCAGCAGGTATGCCACAAAGGATAAAAGTAAATATTCTTATATGAAAATGAAGCAAACCAATAGTTCTTGAACCAAGACCTCTTTGTAACCAAAAAAATACAGGAGGAAATGCAAATGCAACAAATGTTGGTCTGTTAAATATACCAATAACAGTAATGGTAGCTATTTTAAAACAATGATTTAAAGAATGTGAAGGTAATGATCCTAAAAGTTTATAATATTTAACACGTTCCACTCCATTTTTAGCTTCATCATATTTGTTTGAAAGATAATCACTCTGTATAATGACCTAAAATGACAAAAGTTTGTTATTGTTGCGCTTATTTTATTATATATTTGTAAGCGATTTGTTCAATTATGTTTCCTACGTTTGTTGAAATGGAATTTTATACCTTTTCTGAGTATACCATGCATTGTGAGGTATAGAATAATAGTAAAGAAGTCAATATTAATTCAATGGAATTTGAAAACACACGTGTAGCATAAGTTAACGTTACATATGAACTTGCAAATGTAATCAATCTCACTTTATAGTTTTGGCCACACATACAACATATCTTATATAGGCAGTAATCCGATACGAATGATAAAATACACATAAAGAGTCTTGGAAAGACTATAAGATAATATGGTGATATTAAGGATATACCAAAGAAATAAAATGCATAGGATGAAAGAAATTTTAAAACTGAATAGGATGTGCCCACAATTATTTGCGGTATAAAAACAGTTCGAATGGGAAATGTTGCATTATATTCCCATGGTTTGTAAACATCTATGTCAAAACGATCTCCTGTAAGAGTAAACGCTTCATCGTACATTTGTCATGAAAATTTGGACCTGATAAACCTACTACAATAAAAAATAGTTACCTGATATAACTTCTATAGCTTGAAAATATTCATCCGGATGTATATATCCAGTTTGTGGAATAAAAGTCAAAAAAATTCTAAATGCAGCTAAAATCCAATACAATTTCATTTTTCTTTTTATAGGCGAAATAGGTTTGTATTCATCAATAGATCTGCGATATTCGGTTATGTGACGCATTATTTTTGAGTAAGGAAATATCATGAATTAATAATTTAATAGTTATAACTTCGAAAATTGTCATTCAATCATCGAATTAGATCATGTATATTCAATTTGCCTCATAATAACAAATGAATTAATTTTACATATTAATACATCCTTTTAATAACGACATAATTTCTAGTGCAACTTAAATTATGTTAAAATTTTAATTATATCATAAATGTTAACATCACTATATTAAATTATCAATGTTTTCTGATAATTTCATAAAAACCGCGATCGTTTTTTATCACCGTCAGTACTGTCAGTAAATCTCAATGTTTACTCACTGTCAGTCAGTACTGCCAAGATGACACAAAGCATAGATCATTACGTGTGTTACGAATAGCATAGTCTCATAGTAAAAATATCGAACTCTAGAGGATAAACAGATAAACGTTATGTCACTATAATTTCTCCTTTTTCTTAGGGATATGTGATTGGCCAATATGTTTCCGTAATGTCATTGGATTAATGATGTAATATAAAATAAATATCACAGAAATACAATTATCTATGATGTATTACGTATTATTAAAAAAATTCTTTACTTAAAGTATTTAAGATTATATTATATTATATATTATATTGAATAAGACAAGGAGAGATAATATATTCTTATATGTTTACCTATTTGTTGACTATAGTTCTACTATTCGATAACGGGATAAACACGTTAGCAGGGTTGCCAGACAAATTCTCACATGAGGAAACACACGACGTCATATTATCCCCACTACGACTTTCTACGTCACTTGTGTCACGTGACATAAGATATGTATCGTCATACGTCGACGTGCCTCTAATCTAACCTAATCTTAATAATTACTACATACTGCTACTTTTTACTACTACCATTCGTTTTTTCCCTTGATCTGGTAACGCTGCACATTAGTAATTTGACATTATAATGTAACACATGAAGCTTTATTATTTGTGCTGTGAAGTTGGATACAGTTATATGTATTTATATGGTAATTTGTTGTTTGTAGTGAAATGATATATAATGTTTATAAAAAACAAAAATATTTAAAAAACAATTAAATTGTGCAACTTGGTGAAACACTTGTTATTATAAACGGATTATACATACGCTATTTAATACGCGTAAGTAATTAATAATGATCACAATAATATAACCTAAATTGTATTGAACTATTTTCTATACAATTGACAACAATTTGATTACAAAGTATGTTTTTACGTTAAATATAATATATTGAAATAAATATAATCATTTATATTTGTTATTTAAATATATTATAAGAATATCAATTGCGGAAATTCATATATTTAAGTGTACTTTTAAATTACTGATTATTATAGTAGATTGTAAGAAATTTTATTTATATAAAATTTAATTTATCTTATTATATTTTAAGAGTTAAAATGCCATGCTGGTACTATGAAAAAAAAGAATTACGGAATACTCCATCCGTTCAGGATGGGATTGATTATGAAACGGAGTGTAGATATAGAAAAGAAGGTGCTCGTTTTATAATAGACACAGGCACAAAAATGGATTTAGGATATAATACAATGGCAACGGGTGTTGTTTATTTTCATAGATTCTATATGTTTCATTCGTTTAAAAATTTCCCAAGATATGTAAGTAATGTATTAATTTTAAATCTATGTCATTATAAATCTATCAGACAGTCCTGGAGAACTCTGATTACTTTTTTATTGTATAGGTTACTGCATGCTGCTGTTTATTGTTAGCTGGTAAAGTAGAAGAGACACCAAAAAAATGTAAGGATATTATAAGAACAGCCAAAACTTTATTAACTGAACAAAAATTTATGACATTTGGAGAAGATCCTAAGGTACAAAAAGCGTTCAAGCTTATAAATTATTTTCCAAGAATTATCTAATCTTATCACCTAATAAGATGTTTATAATATTTTATGAATATTTCTTATCATTTACTGCTTCTTCATTACAGGAAGAAGTAATGACTATAGAAAGGATATTATTGCAGACAATTAAATTTGACTTGCAAGTAGAGCATCCATATAGTTACCTGTTGAAATATGCAAAATGTCTTAAAGGTATAATTTAGCAAAGTTAAATGTATTTTAATTAATTGTAAATATTCTTAAAAATTATTTTATTTACAGGTGACAAGAATAAATTACAAAAAATGGTTCAGATGGCTTGGACATTTGTCAATGATAGGTATAATAAGTATTTTCATAAATAAAAAGAATTGTAGTAACTTACTTCTTTCTATTTTTTGTTTTTCATTTTTTTTTTAATTTACAGTTTATGTACAACATTATCTCTTCAATGGGAACCAGAAATAATAGCAGTTGCTCTCATGTACTTAGCAGGAAAATTAAGCAAATTTGAAGTATTAGATTGGAATGGAAGACAACCCAAACATTTACGTTGGTGGGATATGTTTGTTGAGGATGTAACTATGGATCTTTTAGAAGGTATCTATTTGAAATATATTTATATGTTAAATTAATTATCGTATTATATTTAGTATTATACAGTTATACTAATAATACGTATTCACAGATATTTGCCATCAAGTATTAGATTTATATTCTCAAGCAAATAATACCAAGCCCCCTGATTCTCCGCCTGTAATACCATCTAATGAACAAAATAGAGAGAGAATTGCTCCACCTCCTATAGTAGACTCTGCATCAAATACACCAAATGGTAAATAAAATATAGAATAAATACAAAAATTGTTTTTTTTATAACAATAATAAATTAAAATTTTTTATTTTAGTGACTCCTGGAAAAGCCTCTAAAATTGAAGTAACTACAGTTGCTGCAAATGGTTGTACAGCTGCAGATACTACAGATGGTATCAAACCCGTAGATGCACCGACACATTTTCCGACATATCCTACAAATTTTGCTCCAGGCAGTACAACTTATCCACCAGTATTTCCACCAGCAAATGTTTCTGTACCTCCTCCTCCTGTAAATACTATAAATCATATTGTGCCAACAATGCACCATATTAATTCATCTACCCCTATTCGGCCTACACCTCCTGGTCCGAATGCAGCTCAACCATTTCAGCCTTATCCTTATCCAACGAATGCATCGTATTTTGCACCTAATGCTTTGGTACCACCTGCTACTACTCAACGTACCTATTATCCACCACAACCTTAACATATAATTACTATTTATTAATTGAAAATTACTTTATTAATTAAAAAATATTTTATAATTTATGTTAGAGTTGTAGATATCATAATAATTTAGTTCTTATAAATATTGTAAATATAGCAGTATTATTGCTACTATTTCTATATACTTGTCAAATTTTAGGTTTAATATAAATTTATATGTTTATAGGAATAAACGATTTATGGGAATTCCTTTGAGAAAGTGAAAATGATAAATCAATATTTTATATGTAAAGATTTCCTTTATTAAAAAAGCTCTTCCCAATAAATGTAATATTGTGTAGATCTTGATTACTTATTTCTGCGAATATTTCGATAAGGGGTTCTGCAGCTAAGGAATCTAACATGAAATTGTCTGTATATAAAACATAAAGAACAGACTGGTATTCCATCATTTGAGCAAAAGATAAAACTAAAAATAAATACATATTTTGTTATTATTAATTGTAATATTAATTTTTTATTTGTAATAAAATTAGTTACTAACTTCCTGCCGCAACTCCATATATAATATTTGGCTTTTCTAAGATTTCTTTGTGTGACTTGCACAGATCACTTGCATTCTTTGTATATAAGCATCGTAGAAAAGAAGGTACATTTGGTATGTTTGCACTTTTATATTGTGATACGTGTCTCCAAGTTATTAAATATATACTTTTTGAAATGGACAAAATGTCGCTTATCTAAAGAAACCAATAACATTTAATATTGTATAAAAATAATTTGACACTAACCTTTATTAATATTGTATAAAAATAATTGAACACTAACCTTTATTACAAATTCACCTGCAAGTTTTGTATCGAAATTGCGTGCTATAATACAGACATAAAGATCTTCATTAACTTGATATATTACGGCAAGTTCCTTATTACACTCATCTTGTATATTACATATTTCCTTAGCATCATGACATAAACCCTCTTTTAAGAAATCTGAAATAAAGATTCCATATAAAAGAATGATGGAATATCACACTAGAATAATTTCATATTCAATAATATGAAAAATATTAATATACACTTTTCATGTCAGTACCAATTATTATTTCTCCTTCTACTATTATAAGCTTCTTCATAGATACAGGTTTATCCTTTAGCCAATTAATATTAATTTGCCTGAAAGTAAAATTGAGTTTATAAATGAAAAACAAAAAAGAAAAAATTTTTTTAAGGTTATGTTATTGACAAGATAAATAACTTACATTTCTTCTTCCAATTCATCAGTTAATTCCTCTCCCTCATTTTCATCCCAAAATGCTCGAGATGATGGGAATACAACCTCTCCAAAATAAGTAGCCATTTTTTAACGTTTAATAATTTGTTCACTCGAAAATACCGTCTTCATACAATGACTCGCAATTCATGTGGAGTATTTCACCATTTGCTACACATACATATGCATGTTTACTACATTCAAGTCACATGATACTTCTCTTGAGTTTTATTAAAAATTATTTATTAAAGACCATTATACACACGTCTCTAATATAAAAAAGTATAAAATTCCTTATTGTGTTGTAATATGACACGTTATGTACCATTACATAAATCTACATCACATTCATCTATTATAACTAATTTCTACAAATTTTATTCAAATATTTTAAAATTTTTTGTTCATAATAAGCTTGAAATAACATTGTATTAATAACCTTCAAGCTTATGTCAATGTAATATAATTAATAAACTTAAATGCGATATGATTTTTGTGAGATTCCAACTTTTTTGATTACAGCTTTTCTGTAACTACTTAATATCTATACATATACATATACATATCATATATATATACATGTATTCTTCTTAAGTTTAATATATATACTATAAAATATAAGATTATTATAAAGATTTGTTTTATACAATAACAAACATTGTATATAGATGTCATGCAAAACTCTCTTGAGATCTCAAAATGAAACATACTAATAAATTTTAGTACTATAAATTATTTTTCATATGTTACAATAAAAAAATATTTAAAATACGCGATCTATAATCATATATTTTACTCTCGAGCAATATTGTTCCCAGGCATAACCATAACGCAATTTACAACGTCTATTGTCTCGTATTGCACGATGCATTAACACTATAGTGCAACATAATGGAGCATAATAAGGTAAAATTTCATTTGTCATACTCAAACAAGATACAGACCATTGCATTATAATATCACCCAAATAATTGGGATGTCTTACATATCCCCAAAGACCAGATACTATTAATTTTTTTCCACGTGATGTTGAAATCGTTGTTAAATCTGTAAAATAAAAAACTTATGTGTAAAACACTTGTATCCTCTCATATCTTTATAGATATATAGCTAGTTGACATACGATCTAATGCAGAAGATAATGGATTTTTTCTAAATTCATCCTTTTGAGAATTACTAATTCTGTATATAATGTATCCAATAATAAAACTTAGGATAGGTATTGTGAAGAAATAGTTTATTTGTGTTCTGTAAAGATAAGAATGTTAAAAATATTTTGTATGTATCGTTATTATATCAAGATAGCATTTATGAATTACCTTCTAAACAACATGTATCTAGATAAAATAGTTGGTAGAAAAGGATAGAGTAAATGACCGACGCACAGCATATATCCAGTACCTTCGTACATAATTTCAAAGGATGTCAAAACAGTTGATTCGTACATTAACATATCCATACTATAAAATATTTGTAAAGAGGATACTAATAATTCTGCTAAATTAATATCCTTCAGGTCCAAACTACTACTGTTTTCTAATGATTTAATTATAACAGATAAATTTACAATAATCTGCAAAATATAAGAATATAATTAATAGAAGAAATAATTATTTATTATATATAAAAAATATTAAGAAAAGAAAAAAAAAATTATAATTACTAATCCAATCACTGAAGCACGTAATAAAATTATTTTTATGTCCAAAAAGCCAAGTCTGGGATTAATTTCTCTGCCTTGCCAGAAATTATATATAATACTATTAGTTGATGCGCATATATTAAGACATGCAACAGGTGCTTTATTTGCTTTAATATATAAGAATATAGCTATAATTGTTCCAAGAATCCATCCACTAGTACTCAATTGTAAAGAATTTTCTAAAATAAAGTCATGAAGTTTTAATTTTTTATATACACATATGCAGAGTATGGCCAGTGATAATGCAGCACATAAAAATCCTAAAAAGAAATGAGAAATTAAAAGGCAATATAATTAATTTCTTTTTAACATAAATATAGCAAAGATAATAAAGATGTGTAAAAAATGCGATTATCATACCATTCATACGATACTGTAATCTACCAATTTTACTTTGTTGTCCGTAGATGCACCTCCCAATTGGAATAAAAGAAAAAATAGTCAGTAAAAGTAAAAATGACAGGTATCCAAAAAATGAATAAGCATTGATGTATAACTGTAGGTCAATTGGTATTTCTGGATACGCCAATTTATACATGTCTTTTGAGCAAAGTAATTGTGGTGCAATTATAGTTAGAGGTAAGACAAACAAAAGAATATAAGTTCCGAACCATCCTCCCCATTCCTGAGGTTCATTAACTAAATTTATTTTATTTTTATGTTTTTCTATTATTAATTCTGATTCCGTGTTTCCTTCAAATTCTATTGGTTTATTAATCAAATCCTAAAATATTGTAAATTTACACGATTTATGACACATAATATATACTTTTGTAATATAAAAAAAAAAAAAAAAAAATTAAATTTTAATAATATGCTATAAATTTTTGGACAAGTATTTTTAAGCCTACGCATAAATATTAATATTTTTAAATCTTTACTTATACAGCATATTATTAAAATTTATTCATATAAATTAAGGACATTCTGTAAACATATATTTAAAGAATGTATAATATGATAAGTACTTGTTCTCTCTGTACAGAAAAGCCTCTCTCCTTTCCATCAGTTATATCATGTAATAGAGATTTTCGTTCCACTGGTAAAGAAACAGCTCTATCAAAATTTCTGGTAAATGCTGTGAATTTATGCAACGATTCCATTTTTGGTGTGCTAGACATACGTATCGATCTTCGTGACACAGCTTCAAGTTCTTTCAACCGATAATGAAGTGGCATTGTATCAGTTTGATTATCATTAAAAGTAGAGTTTCTTGTTACGATAGTATTTTGCTCATTATTAATTTTTTCTATAACACAAATCTCGATTAGATTTTAACATTCAATATAAGTTCATTATAATCATACAAAATTATAATGATAATAAATATAATTACCAGTTGGAAACTCTATTCTGGGAATAGATACTTTGGCATATTTTGTATTGCGAAATGGAAGTTTCCTTTTATTAGCATTTGGAGATCTTGCAGGTGATCGTGCTGGTGATCTAGCAGGTGATCTTGCCGGTGATCTTGCAGGTGATCTTGCAGGTGATCTTCTAGAAGAACGACCAGTAGATGATTTTCTGCTAGGAGAATATCGGGATGGACTTTTTCTTCTTACTCTAGTACTCATTCGAACTGCATTTCTAGAAGTTCTTTCTAACTGCATAATAATAAGAGAATTTATTAATTTTATATTATTATTATTATTATTATTCAAGCATTAATATTATTTTACTTTTAGTAAATACTCACCATTTCACTATTATTTACATTATGTTCCATGATTTTTGCTTTTTATAATTCGTATATGCGTATCCAATGTATATGTCTATATATATATATGTATGTATCACTTTTATTCCAGGTTTATAATTTTTTATAATAATATTTATATATAAGGCAGGTACCTCTTTTGTCCTATTAAAAATTTATTTATAATCAATCAGAAGAAACTGTGTTCCACTAGTAAGCATTGTCTTACATAATATTCACATCTATTAATATAACGTCTTTTATTATGAAGAAAATAAATGAAACAATTGATAATGGAAAGAAAAATTAATGAAATATCGTAATAATATTTTGATTACAACAAGATATTGAGTTTCCAAGTTGTAAGGAATATCAAAATTGAATTAAGCGGCAAAACTTGAATCGATGTTTAACGGCTTTAAGAATGAACCGATGATATTTTAATAACTTACATATATTTCTTATTGAAATAGTAATAATTTTATCATCGAATCCACGACGTTGTAAAAATAATAATTCTTTTGTAAATCACAAGGTTATAATTAAAACTATCTTTTTGCATCATAACACTGAAACGCGAAAACCACACGCTGAGTATTCTGAAAAATATATAATAAACACCACGCGAAGTCCAATGTCCGTTAACTGTGCGTTCACAAATGTATCATCTTTTACGGATTCTAATGGAGTAATGTACGAAGCAGCCAATAAAAATCAAAGAATTTTCAAATATTATATTCAATAAAAATATTTATCAAGCAACGAATAATAAATATTTTTAATTATTTAATAGAAATATTGTTGATGATTAATGGATAAGTTATTAAAACTATGTCATAGACGACATTAACATTATTGTTGCTGATTGGTCAGATTTAAATTAAATCTAACTCATATATATGTCGAACGCACCTATCATCTATTAGAGTGAACATTACCGTACATAATAGATTTAAAACGATTTCTTATTTGGCATCTTATTATTTTATAACCTTATTTTTATATTTTGAGATTAAATATAATAAAGATATATATATATATATATACACGCGAATTTAATCTTAATGTTAAGTAAAAAATTAAAAATGTGGACATTCGTTGGTATGCTTTAAATTTTATTAAAATAATCGATTAATTTTGGATCAAAAGGCACTGATAATAAGATTATTAATTAGATGATGGAAATGAATAAATTTATGATCGAATCTGCGACTCGTGAGTCTCTCAGTGAAAACGAATTTTTGGTATATAGATACATATATATACACATATATATATATATATATAATTTTTTTCCTTTTTCTCTTTGCAATTTATAATTTTTGAAGGAAAAAAATAACAAATTTTTTGTTCGCAAATAGAAATATATTTTTGTTGTAAATCCTGTTTATAATTATGTCGACAAATAATTCTTTTTTTTTATACGCCAGTTTAAAAAAATACTTTTGACAATTTTCATTATCCATTATAGATATCTTTGGAAAATATTTTAAAATCTATCGAGGATAAACTTCAAAAATTTGTGAAGAGTGCTCCAAAACTTTTGACAGATCCCGAATTGGAATCTGGATTGCGTACTATAGAAATTGAAGGAGAAAAAATACATGACTTTCTTCATTCGGTTGTTCAATCTTATTTAAATAGTAGAAAAGGTTCGCAGAATTATTTGTTTTATTTATATATCTCTCTTTCCTCCCACAATACAACTTCTCTTTATTACATTATATTATACAAGTATGTATATATATATATATAATTATCGTAATATGTATGTATATATATATATATATGTATATATTACGATAATCATTATCGCATTTATACACGTATATTACTGAACATATTTACAGTATATAATATATTTATACACACAAACACACATAATGCATTAAATTATACACTATACACATATGTGTAATAATTGCATGTTATGCCGAGAGATTACTACTTGTATTTATCATATAGTAAATTTATAATTTTTTTTTTTTATTTATCAATTTAATCGTAAGCAATAATGATTATATATTAATTATAATTTATTATTTATTATATGGTAAATAAATTGTATGCAAAAATATGTTAGTAATTGCGTAAACACATTGTATATTCATATGAGATATATATATATATATATATATATATATATATATATATATATATATCATGTTCTAGATGAGAGGGAACCAGGGCTACAATACAAATATGAACAAATGGAAGAACAATTACACATTCAGGCTACCGAATTAGAAAAAGCAATCGAGGAAACGCAAACCCTTAAGATCCAAGTACTGCACAATTTCTTTATTTAATAATTATAACATATTTTCAACGAATTCATCTATATGTATATCTATATATATATATCTCCCTTTTTTCCCAAAATTAAAAATTAAGATCTCATTTGAATTAATTATATGCAAACTTACCTTCGTTTTATGCAGATATTAAACCAAAGCAATTTTTGCGCGAGTTTAGGCGCAGTATTGGGAAATTTAGCGTGGCGTGCGTCTCGATTTCCAGAAATCGTTGATATTTGGGTATCAGGTGTAAGCTATTAATGATTATATTTTCTTTACTATAAGTTATCGCGTTTGACTTCGTACGATTATAAGAGAACACTTTGTATAGCTCCAGAATAAAGTAAGAGAGTTCCTGTCGATAGTGAGCGGAAGTTTCGTGGCATTTATAAGCACATACGAGACGAGTATACCGCCTACGAACAACGTCGAGTATCAGTTCGTGTTAGGATTATTGGGTATTGTCACGAATATATCATCGACGCCGAAGGGCAGAGAGTTTCTTATTACCAGTCAGAATGGGAGGGATCTCGTTGAGAAAATCATCAAATTTATGCCTAATTTCTTATCGATAGCATCGGGAACGCATTCGTTAATGAGGTAAACTATAATCTAATATTAATAATTTTCTTTGAGAATTGTTACTCGCTCGTATCGTTGTTTCTGTATCGTTTTATTTTTACATACATATCTATCGAATTTTTACGAAAAGACGTTTATATTCTTAAAAATAGACATTAGACAATTTCTTAGAATAGAGATACAGTCGATGATTAAAGCAAGTTACATTCATAATATTATCGCAAAATGAAATAATTTCTAATATGTTAAGGATTCTGTTAGGTTTCTATTAAATTTATTGGAATAATATTTAATTAATTAATTAATTTATTGAAAATAATTATCAATTTATTTTCATAAATAGAACATAATTATTGTCTTTATAAATGACGATGAGAAATTATTGAGTTTAAATTTAATTCGTATATAGAACGATTTGAAGGATTTAATTTTTTTTTGGTTTGTTTTCTTTTTCGTTTTCTCGTTTTTTTTTTTTTTTTAATCAATTCTTCTTTATAGATTGATGCTGATGATATTGTATAACGTGAGCATGAACAATACCGGTTTAAGCTGTTTGTTCGAGTTTCGCGTGGCTGGAGTTCTCAATCGCTGTTTGGAAGAGGATACTTTATCGGAAGAATTGCAGCTGTTATGCTTGCGCATTCTCCAATCAATTACCTACGATCTTAAAGATCCGAAATATATCGAGGACCTAACCACGTCGATTTCTATTAGGAATATTAAAAATATTGTTGTCAATGGACAGAACGAAACGTGTTCGATTGCGAAAGAAGTTATTAAACAATTGCAAGAGTCTTTAAGATTCAAAGTGATTCAATAAAAAAAAAAATAAAAGAAATAAAAAAAAGAAAAAAAAAAAAAGAAAGAGAAAGGAAAAAGAAAAAAAGCAAGAAAAGAAAAATCTACTAAAAAATAGAATTAATCTTCATTTACATCGCCTTTTTAAATATCTTTTATAATGATCAATATTTATCATACAAACGGTAATAATAATTCGAATTCGTTTGGAAATAGTACAACGACCTTTCTCTTGACGTTTAAAAGTTAATACAAGGAAAAAATCGTACTCTGACAAACAGTCTGATTCACTGTTCTCTTTCATCTTATAGAAATATATATGCATACGTAATATCTCGCTTCGTCAAAGGAAGCGGTTGGATCTGCACTGTTATCGAACGTGCCTCAAATTCTTCTTTGCTTTACGGTATGTATGTATGTACGTACGTATTTCTCGTATATATGTGGGCCTATGTAGAACTAGATTCTCATATCAGTAGCGCGTTGCAGTAAAATACATATAATGTACTGCGCAAATAATACCACCAGTTGGTATAACGTAAATTTCTATCTAACGAACTATCTCTCTTACGACCACATTATCAAATACGCATATATATATATAATATATAAATGTTCATATTTATCATACATTTTGCTATGCATTACTCAATAACGTTTAAATTATGAAATATCAAAGTGTCGTAATTTAAAATTGAAATGAAGTTTAAGTACTTTTAACAATTTCATCGAATTGCATTGTTTAAAATAGGATTAGAAAAGAGACGACGATAAATAAAAATCTGTAAGCATCGAATCGATATGCATCGCCATGTTTAATATGTACCTGTGTTCTATTCAATGAACTCAACGTGAACAGTAAAGAAGATAAAGAGGGTGCAATGGACCATATTAAAAAGCTTTTAGTAAAGGCGTAAATGAATAGCGGAGGTAGGTTCCACAACTCAAAATCGTTCTTTCGAATATACAGGCATCTTCACAGAGCAATTTTGCTTCATTAAATAACTCGTCTCTGTGCTAACATAAGTTGTACTTTAACGAAGTATAAATGCGCGCGTGCGCTCATGTGTTTAGCAAGCAGACCACTTTATGAGAAAAAGAGAAAGAAAGAGAAATAGAGAGAGAGAGAGAGAGAGAGAGAGAGAGAGAGAGAGAGAGAAAGAGAGAGAGAGAGAGAGGGAAGAGAGAGAGAGAGAGTACTCTCTTCCACTTCGACCTCTTGATCCAGATATGATATAAGAGTCTTTTGAAAGATTTTAGAAAAATCAAGTTTGTTGTTGATAGTATAATATCAAAGATTGACTCCGGAACGAAAAGAGAATTATGATATAAAACCGATATGAGTTTAAACAAATATGAATTATGTTCAGGGGACTGATAAATAGAAATAAACGCGTATCATTTCTAACGGATAAATAATTAAAAATCAAAAATCAAATCAAATAAAGAAAATTTAAGAGAATGATAAAAGAAATGATAGAAACATTTGTGGAGAGGAAAATACAAAAGAAAAAAGAAAGAATATAGTCCTTCATAATTGTTTATGTGTTCTGGTCATTTCCAAATAGCAAAATTATGCACGTTAAAGGAATAGGGAGTAAAAGCGAGTTTGCCTGGCCTGTAATCGATCAGCGAGAAGAAGGACCCTTAGCAGAAGAGAGAGAGAGAGAGAGAGAAGAAATAGGTATAGAGGGCGTATAGGTATCGAGATAGCGCGTGCTCTCGGCGCCGGCGTCGCAAATTTGAAAGTGGTGGGGGTGAGAGGTGAGCGTCGCGACGTCGGGCGTCGAGGATTCGGGAGAGCTCGCGAAAGGCAGGCCAGGCAGGAGCTACGGCAGGCGACGGCCGGGCGGTCGTTTTATTGATCCCGGGGCGCCGCGGCGCTACCCACCCGCGGCGGGGTCGCCTCCGAGAACTTTCCTTTTCCTCGAGGAGGATCCTTTTTTTTCCATCTTTCCGTCCTCTCGACGCTTCTCGCAGGACGAGAACACGTACACACACGTACACACAAGGGAACGTAATTCCGACGTGACTCGAAGTAATTAGGGTCCTGTGGACTCGTCCGAGTCTCGTGCGTGATTAAAAAAAACGTCTCCTTTCGGTGGTCCTTGCGGTGTCGATATCTTGAGAAAAAAGAAAGAAAAAAAAAAAAAAAAGAAAAAAGAAGAAAAAAACTACGCTCGCGAGTTAATCAGTGAGTAATCGAGCTCGCTGATGTCCCTAAGACGTAAATCGGAGGGATAAGAGGAAGTGTAGAAGTGTAGAAGATAAGAGGAAGAGGGAATTAAGAAAGTGTACGAGCTACGAAGGATCGCTCTTATAGGATCACGGTGTGGGATCATATCGACGATGAAGAATTTATAAGGAGAGTTTCGGGATAGTTCGAAGAAGGGCCCCGAAAGGAGTCGGAGGAGGTCTCTGCTTGGAAGAACACAAGCCGGGTAAGGAAAGCGCCGCGGCGCCGAAATGGGTCCTGCCAGTAGCCGAGAACAAATCGGTGAGCAGATTGGTGATGATGATGGCCTGCAGATTAATCCCAAGAGCAATATCATCGGGAACAACATTGTGAGTATAAATGATTATATTCGATTATATTCTACGTTATACTCTCTCATAATTCTTTTAATCGTCGAGCACGGACACCTGTGATCTTGAAAAATACTGTCGTACGATAATACCTTAACGTTATGATTCATGTTTCACTTTAATGCCATGGAGATGACCTTTGAAATATATTCTACGCGCATATACCTAGATTATAAAGAAGGAAAAAAAAGGAGAAATATATATATATATATATATACTTTTTTGTTTTTAACAACAATAATAACAACATTTAAATATAACCTATTAGTTGTATTGGAGATTAAATTATTATAAAATTTTTGAAATATTATTATAAATCACTAGAAATCCTAGTGTCTTTTCGACCAATGATATCTCTGATAATGTCTTTGCAATGAAGAGACGTAGGATTTAAAATCCCGCATCGTGTATATCCTTCTTTTTTGGAATATTATAATCATAACTTCTGTTATTGTAAACTTTTCCATTTGCCTCATAATACAATGTATTTCTGTTTACTAAAATCAATATAGTTATATCAAACTAATCGCGAACTTGACTCAATAGTGTCAAGTTTATTGTTAATGTTCCTGTCGTCCTTACCTCGACTTTCAGAATCGTTTCGACCTTCCTTCTCCTTGCTAATTTCGTGTTCACATCGTAAAGGTTTTCCACGAAACGTGACTCGTGTCGCTATTATCCATCGATCGCAGAGTAAAATGTACTCTGGTTACGATTTCAAAATCGATTTATCCCAACAAGAGCGGAACAATTTTTCTCTTTTTTTTTTTTCCTTTTTCCTTTTTTTTTTTTTTGTATTACGTAATATCCAAAAGCTTCCTGTAAAATAAAAGAAAAGAAAAGAAAGAAGAAAAAAGTATAACGTTTATACGATATTAAAAATCATTGATCATTTATATCAATCATACATTTATTACTTCAAAGAAAAGAAATTCTTTATATGAAGATGAAAGAATTCTTCATATTTGATATGAGCAATTGATGATAAATATTTACCATGACTATTGACTCAGCTTGTATATGTCGAGTTATTCCTAATTTAATACATTCAAAGTAAAATTCTCGTATTTCCAAAATATCCTTGGTTTTAGACGATAAAGGTCACGCAGGAAATAACAATGTTTATTTCTTTTCTGATTCAACGAAGAAATGCATTAAGGAGACAAACGAATAACACAAATTTTAAGCTATAATGTTGTTACAACAGCGTCATGAGAATTCGTCAAAAAAAAGTTTTTTTTCGCGCCAAAGACAACCGCCCATCGTTTTTCTCTTTGAAGTTTTTGAACGATGTTTTTCATTCCCTTTGATCGGCATGAAGTTTTCACGAAAAATAACTCGCGTACAGCTTGAATTCGATCAGGATTTATGGAATCTTTTTTTGTAAAAGAGAGGGGGAAGGGGGAAAAAAATAGAGAAGTATGTAGGAGCAAAAAAGAATCGATCAAATATCATAAGGTTTTTTGTTTTAATATTATTCACGAATAAATATCGTACTTGTTCATCGATGGAAACGTATCATTCTCCTTTTAGACAAATCTATTCTTTATTTTTTCTATATTGACGAATTAAAAAAGCATACAGATTAAAATGCAATGTAAATAATCACGATATACGAGCATTGCATTTTGTCTTACGCATATCCATATGTATATTGTTTTAATTTTCTATATACGTACATGTAAATACAGAATAGACTGGGAAAAATTGATCTTGACATAAGGCTCTATTGAATTCTAATTAAACATACATATATATACATATATATATATACATACGTATACATATTAAATATATAAGCGTAAATACATGAGAATTAGATCAAATCAAGAATCAGCGCAGTTAAATCATTTTGTTTTGCACTAAGACCTTTTTTTTCTTCTATTTCGTACTTACTGACTATACTTTAAAAATAATGCGAAAAGGGAATAGCTTTTCACGATATTCCTCATATTTTTTATATGTTACGTTTCCTTTGTTTTATACCCTGGCACCACTTTACGCCGCGTCCCAATGTGCGCTTAGTCTTTCACGGTGCGCATAAATCGTGCATTCGTTTGAGGAAAGGAAGGGAGAGAAGAAGGATGATGATGATGACGATGGTGTCGGTGGTGGTGGTGTCGTCAGTGGTGGTGGTTGTGATGGTGGGAGAAGAAAAAAAAGAAAGAAGAGGGGGAAGCTTGGAGACACGATAGGGGGCGGTGGCACAAAGCGCAACGCAACGACACGATGACGACCGAAGAGATCCACGGCCAATCTCGAAATGGACGATGCATATGAATGTCACAGATATTGGATAAAAATTTTTTTAAAACTTCTCTTTCTTTCGCTCTCAATTTCTTTCATTTATTTTTACTTAACGTCAAAATAAGCCATGAAAGAAATAAAAAAGAGGAAGAAAAAAAAAGAACGGAAAGGAAAAGTTAAACGAACGTTGAATAATTATTATTAAAAATTGCGAATTAATTTTGCTAGTTGCATACTGGGTACGTTATGAACATTTAACGCGTTAAGATTAATAATGGAGACAGAGATAAAGAGAGATGGCAGTCGCATTTGTTGGGATAAGGAAGGAGAAGAGAGGGGTGGGGGAGAGAAGAAGAGGGGGAGCAGGGTGGGGACGAGGGTGAGGTTGGGAGAGGGAAGGAAAATCGGACGAGAGTCCACGTCCAAGCTTTGCGATAAGTCGATGATCGGTGGTGAAGAGGCGCGCATTTTCGTATCGCTCTTTCCACGTTGAGCAGCTGGACGTTGTCCAGTCAGGTGGCACGTCCTCTGTCTCTCTTTTACACTTCTTTATTTTCTTTTTCTTTTTCTTTCTATATCTAACTTTTTCTTTCTTTCTCTCTCTTTCCTTCCCTCTCTCTCTTTCTCACTCTTTCTCCCTCTCTCTCCCTCTCTCTCTCTCTCTCACTCCCTCTCTCCCCCTCTCTCTCTCTTAGTCTCTGTCTCTTCCTCTTTCTCTTTCTCTTTCTCTTTCTCTTTCTCTTTCTCTTTCTCTTTCTCAATTCCATTTTCATTCGCGGTCTAGTTTCTTCTTCAAGTCACGCATTGTTTTTTCAGAGCGGCACGCGCGCGCGCGCGCGGGGTGCAATCGGTCGGTTCTCTATTTTGCATATATCTAGTTTGATTTCTTTTTCTCTCTTTTTTCCTTCCTCCCCTCTCTATTTCATTTTCTCCTTTTTCCTTTTCTTTTTCTTTTTCTTTTTCCTTTTCTCTTTTTTTTTTCCCCTCTTTTACGTAAGTTACGTAAAGTTACGAATCGATCTCGCTCGCTAAATAATCGGTTGTTCGTGGTAATCGTTCGTTCTTCTCAATATCATCATGTCACCAAAAAGCAAGGTAAGATAATATTATTTCACCTTTATTATTATTTTCTATTTCGTGATATTCCATTTCTATTTCTTCTTTTTTTTTTTTCTTTTTTTCGTATTTCGTGTTTTTTTCTTTTTTATCTTATGCGGGTTCCTCCTTTTTCCTTCGTTTTTCATCAAATGAAATTGCTCTGGTCTTTTGTTTCTCTTGTTGTTTTCCCTACCCTCCCCCTCCTCCTCTCCCGGCCATTTTTTCTCTTCTTTTCTTTTTCTTTTCCTTTCTTTTTCTCTTTCATACCGACGGAATAACTAGTCTGCGTCAAATTTGTTAGCCCGGGAACGCGAAATCTCGTGACTCGTCGAATTTTTAGACGGACGGACGAAAGGAAATGATAATGGAATCGATCGTGCCGTGGGCGTATACGTTGAATGGGAAAAAAAAGAATGAAGAAATAAAGAAAATAAAAAAGGAAAAAATGAAGCAAAAAAGAAAAAAAAAGGGAGGTGAGAAGGGGGAGGGTAAAAAAAATGACAGAAAGAGGGAATTCTTCTTCGGAGTATTATTAAACGAAAGAAAAATCATTGTTTTTCCTTTGAAAAAATAATTTTTCAAAAGAAAATAAAACAAATTGACGGCGATTGGAGAACAATAGTATCCCAACGAGAGAGCGAGCGAGAGAGAGAGAGAGAGAGAGAGAGAGAGAGAGAGAGAGAGAGAGAGAGAGAGAGAGAGAGAGAGAGAGAGCGAGCGAGTTCTGCACGGATGGATGGCCGCACGCGACAATATGAGGAAATAATAAAAAAATGATTCCAAGTGTCGTCCAATTTCATTATTAACAAATTATTTCGTATATGTTGAAGACATCTCTATTTGCTCTTTTTTTTTTTTTGCTCCTCGTCGTTATTCGAAAACGTTTCGGAGGAATTTTGAAGAAGAGGAAGATCAAAAAGAAAAAAAGAAAAAAAAAAGAAAAAAAAAATAGAGAAAATAAAAATGATTCAAGAGATGAAACGAATACTATGAGAGTTCGTTCGTCGATATTTAACCGTCGGTAATCTCTCCAGTTTACCTTTTATCACGTGGTAATTTATAACATTGCTCGTGACGAATCCGAGATCGAGATCTACTTTGCGCCATACGAGGTGTCTTATCTTTTGAGTGTTTATTAGCCTCGTTATCGTTCTATATCGATGTCGAACAAATCTCTCTTTTTCTCTCTCTCTCTCTCTCTCTCTCTCTCTCTCTCTCTCTCTCTCTCTCTCTCTCTCTTCCTCTATCCTTATCTTTTTCTCTAACTACGAGAGCTCGATCGTGGATTACCGAAAAAGTTACGTAGATTTTATTTTCCCTAGGGGAAATAAAAAGAAAAACGAAGAATCGTTGTTAAAAAAAAAAAAAAAAGAAAAAAAAAAGAAGAAAAATAAAATAAAATAAAATAAAATAAATTGATTAATATTAATCGATAAATCGATGGAACTTTAACAAAAAGTTTCCTTATAAATTATCTTCCGTTTAAGTAAAGTTCATTGAGCAAGATTTTTAACAGGATGAATCGATTACAATTATCATTTACTATTAATCTAACGATCTTTGAATCATCTTTCCTAAAATCTTTTAATACGTACAAAGTTCCCTAAAAGTTCCATAAAAGTTTCCAAAGTCTTTGTCATCTTTTCAATGGGAAAATTTTCTATATGAAATTTTTTTATTTATATATACATATACACACACACACACATATATATATATATGTATATGTATATATATTACGTATACTTCATTTAATCATTTTCATATAAAAATATATTTTTTTTTTATTTTTGAAATTATACGA